CGATCTGAGTGGGCTTGGAGATCTCAGTCACGGGTTCCCATGTACCTGGGTTTTCTGGCTGGTCTGCTCTCCAGTGAGGTTCATCCCATCTTGAGTGAGGCTCGTCCCATCTTGGGTGAGGTCGTCCAAGCATGTGGAGAGTGGCCTTGAGCATGGCAGCGGTTGGGTTCTGGAGGTTTTCAGCTGCTGGGGCTCTGCTTGGGTGGGGAGGGAGATTCAACCCACCCCCCTCTGAGGTGCCCTGTTGAAGACAGCCTGGCGCGGGTCAGGAGAGTGTGCTGATTATGCTAGATCTTAGTTTTCTCTTGCAGAAAAGAATTTCAGAAGGTCAGGAAATGTGAAGTAGTTTTATTTAGAGTAATTGGGGAGGGGGAGTAGACAGAGAGAGAAGTAGAGAAACATGGGAGAGAGGGAGATGTGTGGGGAGAGAGAGGGAAAGAGAAACTGAGACTACACATCTTAGTTTGAAATACAAGTGAATCTTCAGGAAAAGAAGACACTTGTCTCTATAGAGGTGCTTTAATAGTAGGGTAATCCTTGTAACCTTTGGCCTTTTTTATTTGTTTGGGGCCATAGCTGGCTGTGTTCAGGACTTCTTCCTAGTGGTGCTTGGGTACTGTGGTGTGGGGCTTTGGGGTTAGAATGGTTTAGCAGTACTGTCTCTGGCCCCAGACGCTTTTCCACAATCTTAACAAGGCCTTTTGTTTTCTTGGAGTTTCTTTTTTGAGGGGTCCACCCTTCTCTGTATGGTGCCTCAATTTCTGCCTTTGGGCCTTGGGTACTTCAGGACTAGTGTGTTGGCAGCTACTTTAAATCCCATTTGGTGGTGTTACCTTCCTCAAATGTTACACCAGAGGCCCCTCCCTATCTGTATGCATGCATCAGTCCTGTCTGTGAGAATGTTACGTCTAATCCAGCCAAGTCTGTGGGCTGAAGGAAACCAAATAGTCATGCAACCATTTTGCCAAGGCCCTTCACTGAGGCTGAGGATCACTGGAAGGAGAGACCAGACAGGCGAAAATCAAAGATGGAAATCAAATTGTGTGTGTGTGGGAAGCCAAGGCTTATGGAAATCACCCCCATTGTGGCTACTCATTGAGTGTGTGGGGAACCCGTGGGTCTCAGCGCAGAGCTGTCTCTGAGGATGTGGCCAGGTGGAGTCCAGATTGGCTTACACTAGGGCTGGTGGGATTTTTTTTTTTTCTTTTTGGGTGACACCCAGCTATGCACAGGGGTTACTCCTGGCTCTGCACTCAGGAATTACTCCTGGCAGTGCTCAGGGAACCATATGGGATGCTGGGAATTGAACCCGGGTCGGCCATGTGCAAGGCAAACACCCTACCCACTGTGCTATCACTCCAGCCCCCTGGTAGGATCTTTTTGCTGCTTTTTTAAAATCTCCCGCATAAGGTCTTTCATACTTTAGAGGGTGTCTCATGTAAAGTAAAGGCTCTTGGCTCAGGTGAGCTGGGGGCAGGGGGAGGGGGTCACCACAGTCAAGACTCTAAGTAGGTTTCTATTCTCAAGAATGTCTTGAGAACTGGTTACACACTACTGTGCATTGTGAGTCTCCACGGGAGAGTTTAAACAAGCATGACTGTGGCATGCTTTGTTCAGTAGACGTCTGTCAGGACACCATGTCAGAAGCATTTGGGTGTGTGGAGCCTGTCAGACATGCCTTTTTATAATCATGAGAACCACCGCTGGTTTTGCACACTTCCTTGCTAAGCCATTCTCCCAGGTACTTCGAGTCTAGCAAAATTTTCACTGTGGTGTAGGTTCTTTGGATTGATCCCTATGGTGCAAATGAGCAACTTGGTATGAGATGATGAAGAAACTCACCCTGTCTCAGAGCCAGTTATGGTGTGGCCTGGTCTTCCTCCATCCTGGTTATCCTTAAATCTTGAACCCTGTGAGACCTTACCTGAGGAGTGTGACTTTCACCTCTCCCCTCTGGGAGTTGCATGACCCATCTCTGACCTCCAGACCAGATTCCTTTGTGGCCTTACCATGCACCATCTTCTATGTGGTCTACCTGTCTGGTGCTCACGCTGCCTCAGGGGCCATGTACCTCGGGGCTGTCTTTGCCTTTGTCCTTGTGTCCATCAGCTCTTTAGTCTCCAGCTTCATGCCTGGTCATTGTTGTGAAGTTAGAAGCGTTGAGGGGTTTTCAGATGCTCTTTGCTCGTTGATTTTGGGGTGTTGGGTGGAATGGGAAAGAGGGTGGAACAGAAGAGTACCTGGTGTGTCTTTGCTTCTGAGGGTTCATTATGTTGGATCCTGTGGAGCCCATTTGATGCACATTTCTGAGTTGATCAGGTTGGCATGCAGGTGACCTCCTACCCCTTAAGAACGGTGTGTTCATTGCGCATTGCCCATAGTGTCAGCATTGGTGTTCAGGACCACAGCCTGACAGAGAAGCCTGGGTGGGTGGAGTGACATTCTGACAATTGCCATGACGTTTCTCAAAGTATGCTGTTGGTTATAGATGTACTTTAGTGTTTGGGAATGGATTAGAAACTACTGAGTGATTTGGGTGTTAAAACAGAAAGTTTGGGACCAGAGCCATAGTTTAGCAGGTAGGGGCTTGCCTTGCCAATGCTGGCTCAATCTTTGGCACTGCGTATGGTTTCCTGAAGCCTCCCGGAGCAGTGCACAACCAGGAGTAAGCTCTGCTAGGTATGCCCAAACAAACAAAAAACAATTATAACAATATCACAACTCTGCAAGCCCAGAAAGTTTGGCTCAGGATAAAGACAGGTGTGTGTTTGGGGGCAGTCTGTGCCAGTTAGGCAGGGAGTTCCTGGGCAGCAAGATGGTTCTGTTGCCTCACTAGTGCAGATGAGGCTATGTGGAGCAGGGGGACATAGCCTCCCCCCCCCCCCCCCCCACTGGCTCCGTTCCTTCCATAAAGGGAGGGTGGTGTCCCTGTAGCATTCTAATCTTCCAGACCTTATGTGACTTGACTTGCTTTTTTTTTTTAAATTTTTTAATTTAATTTTTATTTTTTTTCTTCTTGGGTCACACCCGGCGATGCACAGGGGTTACTCCTGGCTCTTGCACTCAGGAATTACTCCTTACGGTGCTTGGGGGACCATATGGGATGCTAGGAATAGGACCTGGGTCCGCTGCGTGCAAGGCAAATCCCTACCTGCTGTGTATTCTTATTGCAAACTACTTTCTCTGGTGGAGAGGGGGAATACTAGTAGTCTGGATCAGAGGCAGTGGTGTTTGGGGGATTAACCCCTTGTGGGGCTCCTCAATCCCTGGAGTGTGAGCGATTGAGCCCAGGGTTCAGAATGCATGGTGTGCACTCCATTCCCTTCTGCTGTCTCCTGGCCCCTGCAGCTTACTTTTAAAAGAAAATGCTACATTTTTGAGATGGATGTGTCTGCTGTATAGTTTTCCATGAAGGAAGTGAAATCACGTTCATTCATGACTGCACACTTTTTCCTTTTGTAAACATTGCCAGAGTTAACCCCTTGAAAGTTTCCTCTAGTGCGAGAGTTACCAGAGTAGACTTCCCAAAGTGGAAGTCCAGTTCACAGTCTTTGTCCAACTGGACTTTTCTGGATGGAGTACCACAATGCTCTCCAGTATCATACCAGTTTTTGCCTCGATGTTGCTGTTCTTTTTTGTCTATGGCCATACCACCCTGAACGCACTGTTCTTTTTTAAATTTTTAAAATTTATTTTTTATTTTATAAAGTAGTTCACGATATTTGATTACATTTAAAATTCAGAAACCAATTCCACCACCATACACCTTCCTACCACCATATTTCAGATGTTTCCATCCCAAAGCTCAATCCCTGCCCCAAAGCAGAACCGAAATAATACATTTTGTGTTATGAAAAACCGCTGAAAATGCTACTAAAAAGTATCCTTAGAGGAAAGAGTGTAAAGATTGTTGTATTTCACCCAGGGGCCATTAAGCTTTTCTACAGAGTTCTGGAGATTTTCGGGGTGGGGAGGGGGGCTCTCACCCGCCCAGCTCTGGGGCGACTGGGGTAAACAGCCTGGCGCAGGGTCCAGCAGTGGCATGGTTATGGCGAGCGTCGTGTTATGCTCCCTTCCGGGAGAGAAGGACATGCGATCTCAATGTTGCAGTTCTGTTACTGGCTTTATCCCCTGCTGGTAGTGGGATCCATTCTTTTCATTTTATTTTTTTTAATTCTTGTTTTATTTTTATAAAGTTGTTCACAATAATTGATTACATTTAATATTTGAACACCACTCCCATCACCATTATACCTTCCCACCACTATATTTCGAATATTCCCACCTCGAACCCCAAATTCTGTTTCCAAAGCAGAACTGAAGAAGCTTATTTTGTATTGGTTGTTATGAATAATCCGCTAAAAATGATCCAAAAAAGTTTTCTTAGAAGTAAGTCAGTGAAGATTGTTATATTTCACCCAGAAGCCATTAAGTCTTTCTATAACAGATTAGTCACATGTTGTTAAATGTTGAGCCTTGTGTGCTTATATATGTGTGTGTATTTTATATATATATATATATATATATATATATATATATATATATTTGCCCCGTAGATTGTTTGCCTTCTATTTTAAACCCCATCAAATATGTTGTGTTACTCTTGGCATATTGGTGGTGTAAAGTATGAGATGTTTAGGAATAGATTCACTCCTGAGTGAGGCTTGTCCAAGAGTGTGGGGTTGGAGAGTGGCCATGAGCATGGTGACAGTTGAGTTCTGGAGGTTTGGGGCTGCTGGGCCTGGCTCAGTTGGGTGGGGAGGGGCCTCACTAGCCCCCCTCCGGGTTGCCTAGGACAGGGTCTGGAGGCATGGCTGTGGCGTCGCGTTCTCTTCGTTCTTTTTGTTCTTGCATGTGTGGTGTGCCCGGTGGCATACCTGCTGCTTTATGTTTCCCTCCTACCAGTCTGTTCCCCAGGCTTCTGATTATGGTGATCTGAGTGTGTTTTTCAGATCGGGTAATGTAGGGTCCTCATCTGTTCTGTTTAATTTTTCTTGCAGATGGCAAGTTTGGTGCGTATATGCAGGTCCACATTCAGAACGATGGCCCCGTGACTATAGAACTGGAGTCTCCCGCTCCCGGCGCGTCTGCCTCCGACCCCAAACAGGTAAGCCTGAGTCAGGCTGCAGACTCCCCACTTTGGTTTTATCCCTGGAGCAGTTGTCATTCAAGATGGAGAAACATTTTGTCTTTGGCTATTTTGGTGGTCATCTGTTTCATAGCGCCGTCCTAACGCTGTTGGTTGGGACAGTGTGACACTACTGACTGTCCTATCTTTGGACTCCAGAGAAAATGCCCTATAGAACCCTTCGTGCTTCCTTTGGGCTCCTCAGCCCTGGATGGTGCTTTGGCGGCTACTAGCCACTGGGTGGCAGCAGAATACCAGCACAGCTGCTCTTCATCCTGAACCCTGTGCGGGTTTTGTCTAGGTGTGGGTAGTTATGCAGTTTATGGATCTGTGTAAATCCTCATATTTTTTTCTAAATGCCTCTCTGGGTTTTCTGTGGATTGTTTAAGTGTTCAGAAAAATTTTTAATTGAAACGGAGAAAGCTCCATGACATTCCTTGTGCCCTGTGTAATTCTCTCATAGGTGCTTAACCCTTCTGGCTTTAATTAATGCAGTCACTTAATCACCTTCTGGACACCTGGGGGTTGGCAGAGGTGTGAGAGAAGGGACGCTCTTGCTCTGCTGCTGCCCTTCCCCCCTTGTTGCATGCTGTGAGGTAGAGTGATGCAGGGGTGTGCCTGGTGTGGTGCTCAGGAAGCACCTGATGCCAGGGGCCTGACCCGGAACTCCCACAGGTAACCTGTGCTCCTGCTCCTTGAGCTGTCTTCCTGTTCCCTCATGTTGTGATTCTGAGGAAAAATAGTATCTTTGATAGCACAGTGGGTAGGGCATTTGCCTTGCACGCAGCTGGCCCGGCTGACCCGGGTTTGATTCCTCCGCCTCTCTCGGAGAGCCCGGCAAGCTACCAAGAGTATCTCGCCTGCACGGTAAAGCCTGGCAAGCTACTCGTGATATATTCGATATGCCAAACACAGTAACCATAAGTCTTACAATGGAGACGTTACTGGAACCGCTCGAACAAATCGATGAACAATGGGAGTTGACAGCTGACAGATTATTTATTTTGGTTCTTGATCCTTTGATAAAGAAGCTGGAATCTGTCTAACTCAGTAAAGCAAGGTGTCAAAGGTGACAGGGTTGAGGTTCCAGGAACTCCTGTTAACATTTTAAGCAAACAAGCAAACAAAATCCACATGAAATTTATTTATTTATTTTTGGTTTGGGGGCCACACCCAGTGGTGCTCAGGGCTTATTCCTGCCTCGTGCTCAGGATTCACTCCTGGTGGTGCTTGGTTAACCATGTGGGATCCCTGTGCAACACACGCACCCTCTGCACTGTACTCGTGTTCTGACCCACACAGGAAAACAAATTTTTTACTTGAAATTTGAGACTAACAGAGAAGTTGATAAAAAGATCACTGTTCCTCTATCTTCTGTCCAGTTTCCTCTCAATTTCACTTAATCTCATCGTACGTGATCCAGACTGCTATTAATACTGATGAAACGCTGTCAGAATAATTCTAGAAATCCTCTCTCTTGAGGTCTCACTGGTCCTTTGCATCTGTCCCCACTCCCTCCCCTTTGTTGTTATTGCAGTGAGCAAGGTCACTGGCCTGGTGGAGTCGCCACACTTAGCGTTGTGGTGCTTACCTGGGGGTTGTCCTCATGTTGTGGCTCAATCATACCTAGTGGGGACCTCGCTCAGCACATGTGTGGGGCCCCGAGGATCAAATTCATCCTGTAGAACAGGTGTATTTGCCCTGAGCCGTGAACCATTTCTAGCCTGCTCACCAGTAATATTTAATATATTAAAACTTAAAAAAAATAAGCTCCCCGTGACGTATTCGATATGCCAGACACAGTAACAACAAAGTCTCCAGTGGAGACTGTTACTGGGCCTGCTCGAGCAAATCGACGAACAACGGGAGGGCCTTTACCTGGCCTTTACCTAAAAAAAAATAGTTTTACTTATTTATTTTTGGGAGCCCCTAAGTTATACTCAGGAAGCCAGGGACCTCAGTGCTGGTGGTAGTAGGTCCGCCAGGTTGGGCAGTTCTGTGCCAGGATCTGAGGATGTGGAGCTGCTCGCCTTGGGGTGCTGGGGACCACTAGTACTGCTTCAGCAGAGCCTCGGGGGCCTGCTGAGTGATGCCTGAGTGCTCAGGGCCCTCAGGCCACTCCTAGAGGTACTGGGGGGCCATGCCCTGCTGGGGTTGAGGTCAGGCCCTGGTGTGTGTAAAGTGTACACCTCTGACTGCTGAGCTATTTTCCGAGACCCATGTGTTTTGGTTTTGGTTTTTGTTTTGGGCTACACTTGATTATTCTCAGGACTTACTCCTGGCAGTGCTCAGGGGACCATAACCAGTGCTGGGATCGAACCTGGGCTGGGCACATGCAAGAAAAGTGCCTTAACGGCGGTCCTAGCACTCTGGCCCCCATTGCGTTTTATTTTCTTTCTCTGCTCCACTTACCTCTGCTGCTCTCACCAGTGTTGACTACGTCCTAGTGGTGCGTGTAGAGCTTTAGCTTCGGTGCTTCTGGGTGTGCTTGCGCATCAGACTGTGATGCTTGCTTCCTTGCTGCAATTACCCACTGTGGTTTGCACATCCTTGTTTGTGCTCCCACATCCTTACTTGGGGTCACACCCTTACTGAGGCACACAGATCCGGGTGGGGTGCCTGCTGGGGCCCCTGCAGGGCCACACAGGAGTTGCCCAGGACTTAAACTTCCTGGGTGTGGTGTTCTCATGTCATTGAATTTCTGTGTTGGAGTGACACACCTCTCTGTGGTACTAACACACACCTGACTGTGGTGGGCCGGAAATCCCTTGTGTTGTGGACAGAGCACACAGCAGCACTGCCGGCTGACCCCGCAGAACTTGCAGGATCTTACTTGGCGTGTGTGGGACGGCAGAGATTGGAACTTGTGGTCGTGCACTTTTGAGCCAGTGCTCTAAGGTTAGGCGCTGTCCCACAGGCTCACCAGCAGATTTTCTAAGGTCCCTTTTCTCTGGCAGAAAAATCTTGGATTCCACTTTGTATTTAGCTGTCACCTCTTCTTAGTGCTTGCTGGTCGGTGAGAGGCCTGTGGCTTTTCCCTTTCATCACTGGTACCCCAACGAGTGCTGTCAGCTATTTGCTGATGTTCTTCCACATGGGTTTTCTTGGGTCACCTTGAGCTTATGACTGGAGCAGCAGAAGCACAGAAGTAGGGTGCCCTTTTTGGTACCAGATGGGACGGCCATGACATTTGTCACGTCACACAGGGGATGGCCTTATTCCCGGGTTCAGTGTGTAGTCTTCCCAGTTTCTCCACCAACCGTGAGCTCAGCCTTGCTCTTGTCTCTGTCTCTTCTTGCTCATGGCCTTGGCCTTGTGTCCTTCGTCCTTTACCCCACTGGGTAGTGGAGCTGACCCTCTAGTACTTCTTTCAGTGCTGGGACCAGCCGTGGAATTTATGAGGCCCAGGGCCAAATATCAGGACCTGTGTTGAAGCAGGATTGAGAATCACCTGGAGGTGGCGACAGCAGAGGCTCACCAGGGATGAGAGTGAGCCCCTCTGCGGGAGCCCTGCCGAGCGCGGTTATCCCAGCTGCGGGTCCCCAGGCTGTCCCTGATGAAAGGGAAAAGCCACCTAGCACTCCTCTCAGATCCAGGCCTGGCCTCCCAGTGAGCTCCTCTCTCTCGCTGGCCTTGACCTGTTCGCTGATGCCTGCCTCCAGCCGCCTCCATCTTCCTTTGTGTTGCCCCCTGGGTTTGCTCTGCAGGGGCTCCCCCGCAACCAGCCTCCCGAAGGCTGCCTGTTTCTGCCATGGTCTGGTCCCTGCTGGAGCTTTTGCTTTGTTGTCCATCTACTCCATCTTGAACCTTGCTGTACAGGACACTGCTCTCTGGAAGTTTCTCTTCTTGTCTCTAGCTGCTCCCTCAGGTTTTATATGAACAGTATTCTTATTCTGAAGTTTTGGTTGATCGTGCCACCGGACCCGCGTCAGGCTGTTTGACTCGGGGCGCCCTGCAGGGGGGCGGGTTGGATGAGATCCCTCCTCGCCCCAGGGACCCAGCCCCGACAGCCGAAAACTTCCACAACTCAGCCACTGCCACGCTCATGGCCGCTCCCCACACGCTCGGCGGAGCCTCACCCACAAGTGCATCTGCGGCCACGTGACACTTCAAATGCTCCAGGATTGCTGCACCACATTTGACAGGGCTCAAAATAGGCGGCAACCAATCTTAGAGGGAAATAAAACATTTTAAAACTGATATATATATATATGTGTGTGTGTGTGTGTGTGTGTATATATATATATATGTATACATATATATATAAAACACACAAGGCTCAACCCTTAACATGTTAGTGATCTCTTATAGAAGGGCTTAATGACTCCTGGGTGAAATACAACAATCCTCACTCTCTTTCCTCTAAGGATACTTTTTTTTATAGCATTCTCATTTTATAGCATTCTCAGTTTCAAATTTCATAAAAAACAATACAAAATATATTATTTCGGTTCTGCTTTGGGGCAGGGCTTGGGGTTTGGGATGGAAACATTGAAATATGGTGATGGGAAGGTGTAATGGTGGTGGGATTGGTGTTTGAATATTAAATGTAATCAAATATTGTGAACTCCTTTATAAAATTGAAAAAAAATTTTGGGTGATTCCATTTGGAGAAACATTTTAATCAAATTTTTTTTTTTTCTTTTTGGGTCACACCTGGCGATGCACAGGGGTTACTCCTGGCTCTGCACTCAGGAGTTACTCCTGGTGGTGCTCAGGGGACCATATGGGATGCTGGGAATTGAACTTGGGTCGGCCGCATGCAAGGCAAACGCCCTACCCGCTGTGCTATCTCTCCAGCCCCAATCAATTATTTTTAAATTCTTTTTTTTTTTAAGTGGGGGACCGTACCAGCTGTGGTGGAGTCCACGGGGATGCTTTTGGGGACCGTCGCCCTGCAATGCTGGGCCTGATAGTGCAGTGCTCCTTGGGTCCTGTGGTGCTAGGGACCAACAGGGCCATGCAGATGGTGCTCAGGGATCACCAGGCCTATGACCTGGCAGTGCTCAAGGAGTCACATGTTGCTGGGGACTGAACTTGGAACTTTGTGTGTAGAAGTCTTGCGTTCCTCTCCTAGCTCCTCATCCTGAACACATAGGTCTGTGTGCAGATATGTTTTGGGGCCACACGTTGGCAGTGCTTTGTGCTCAGGAGTCACTCTTGGTGGTGCCAGGGATTGAACTGAGATTGGCTATGTGCAAGTCCTGTACTATATCCCCTGTATTATGTTATCCAAACCTCTTTTTGCTAATAGTTTCTCCTTTCTTATTTAAAACAAAACAGTGCCAGGAAGTTAGGACAGAAGGCAAGGCAGCATGTGAATCACACTGGCTTAAATACCTGGGCACCTCCAAGGAGTGATCCCCGAGCATTTGCAGGAGTGGTCCCTAAACCAAACCAAACCAAACCGAACCAAACCAAACCAAACCAAGCCAAACCAAGCCAAACCAAACAAAACAAAACCCCCAACAACAAAAACCCCAAACAGAAAAACCTAAAATATACAATACAAAAAAAAATTTTTTTTGTAACTTCTAATAAGCTGTAAGTTATTAGGATTAAAAAGACCTTTTCGTGTTTTGGCTGGTTGGTTTTTTATTTTTGGGTCACACCCAGCGATGCTCAGGGCTTGTTCTTGGTTCTGTGTGTAGGAATCACTCCTGGCGGGGCTTGGGGCTCCACATGGGTTGCTGGGGATTAAACTTGGGCCATCTGTGTGCAAGGTAAATGCGATACCCCTGTACTGTTGCCTCGGCCCCAGGCCTTTTTTTTTTTTTTTAACTTCAGAATTTAAGAATTTTCACTTCAAAAGCGTGGCTTATGGGACAGCAAGAATAGTACAGCAGGTCGGGCACTTGACTTGCACGCAACTGATCTACGTTTGATCCTCAGCATCCTGTATGGCTCTCTGAGTACCATCAGGAGTGATCCCTAGGCGCAGAGCCAGGAGTGAGCCCTGAGCCCTGCCAAGGGTGGCCCCTAAAATAAATTAAACAAATAAAAGAACACTGTGAATTGACCTGTGTCAGCCTATTTGCACTGGTTGACTGGAGAAGTGGCAGAACGTAGAACGCTGCAAGAGCGCTCTCTCTCTCTCTCTCTCTCTCTCTCTCTCTCTCTCTCTGAGTGTCCAGTAGGTGGCAGCAAGCAGGCATGGAAGGATGCCTGGTTCCCGTGGAGTCTCGCAGGCCTTTGCCTTTGGTCTCTCTGCCTTTCCCTTCTAAGAAGGGTTTTTCCTTTGAGTAGATGGCTGATTTGCTTGCTTTTCTGTTGATTGGAAGACTACAACCAAATCCTTTTCAGTGGTAGAGAAGCAGTTATGAGAAGCAGTTACTTCTATCAACGGCCTTCATGACTTTTCACTGATAATGCAACTAGAAGGGAAACTGCAAACATTATAGAGTAGTTCTTTGGTAGTTCTTACGTGGAGATTCTTTTCTCCGCCTTCCTGTCCATTTGTTGTTGTTATTGTTGCGATGTTGGGGGTGATATCCTTGGTTGAGGGGCTTGCTGGGGGTCACATGCTTGTTGTGGAGGTTGGAACCACATGGGCAGTATTGTCGGGGACTCCACTTGGTGATGTGGGGTAGTGCTGGGGTCGAATTCAAGGCCTCACACCTGTAAGCTGGGGCTTTACCCTCAAAGCTTATCTCCAGAGCCCTAACATAGAATCTTTAGACCAGTTGAGCAAATGAAACATAGTTCTATGTATATGTGTTTTTGTGTGTGCGCGTGTGCATCTATGCAGCTTGTGCCTTCTTAGCCAGCCCTGTGCTGTGCACCTGACAAAGAGAGAAGGAAGAAAGATGTGCTCAAGACTTAGTTTCTGCTCCCAGGGATAGAGTTAGGGTAACAGAAACCTGAACTTTTTTGGTTTGTTTTAGTTTTGGGCCATACATGGTAATTCTCAGGGTGCAGGGGAGGCTGTGCAGGGGTACTGCAGTCCTGGGGATTGGACCTGGGCCCCCTGCATGCAAAGCAGGCACTCTAGCCCTGTCTGTCCCCGGTCTGGGAGATCTGACAGTTGCGGTGCTAAAGCGTGTGTTAACTTTGTCTGTGTTGTCAGAACACCCCTCCTCATTGCTTCCCAAATGCATTTTGTTTCGATTTGGTTCCCTCCCGCTGCTGATCCTGGCCACCTGACCCAGCTTCTGTGCTCGCCCAGCCTCCGTAGGCCTCGGCCTCCCAGTCCTCCTCTCCAGCTGAGAACGGTCGGACCCATTCTGGATTCTGTGTTCTGTGCCGGCCTCCTCTCAGAGAGGACCTCTGGCCCCGCTCTCCTGTTGGAGCCCCTGCCGGCCCCTCTGTGCTGTGGAGAGGGTGATCCATTGCACGGCACTCAGGACCATCTGTTGCTATGTGTTGGTTTCTTGTTCTGCGTCTGTTCAGAGCACTTCTGGATTGTGAACGGAGACTTGTTCACCGCCTAGTCTGGGAGGAGAGCTTGGGGCGCGGATCAGGTTCTGGAATGGAGTTCTGAAATGCATCGAGGCAGGCATTGTTTGAGTTCTGAGAAGAAAATGCCATTGCTGCGGCCACCGAGCTGGACAGGCCTCTGGTGGCCGGGGGCATGGCTCTGTGCACTCGGAGAGGAGGGGGGTTCCCAGCTGATGGGTCCAGGTGTGGGCTCCAAACAGTGGTATGGTCGTGGTTGGGAGGGTCTCAGAGCTCTTGATGGTGAGGATGGTGAAGGCTAGTAAGGATAAGTGGTGGTTTGCCTGCCTCAGCCCACTCTTTAGTTGGCTGTGTGTGTGTGTGTGTGTGTGTGTGTGTGTGTGTGTGTGTGTGTGATATTTTTACTTTCTCATTTGTATTTTTTATTTTTATTGAATCACTGTGAGATAGACCCTTACAAAAACTGTTCGTGATTAGGTTTCAGTTGTACAGTGTTCCAACACCCATCCCTCCACCAGTGTACATTTCCCAGCACCAGTGTCCCCAGTTTCCTTCCCATCATGCCCGGGCGGGCACTATTTTTCTCTCCCCTGCCCCTTCTCTCTCTCCCTCCCCCTCTCCCTGTCTATCTCCCCGCTCCCCTTTTGGGTTGGGGTTGGGGTTTGTAATACAAATACTGAAGGTTATCTGATTGGCTTTGAAATTGTCCCTGTAGCCTCTGTGTGTCTCTCCCTCACTCATTAATAGCTTGCTTGGTGTGTTTATAGGCTGCCATGTGGAGACCATGATAGATTTTAACAGGGAGAAGTTGGAAGAAGAGCATCAGGTTCTTGCTGTGAATGATGTACCTTCAAAGGAGTGTAGCAGCATCCCCAGGCAGAAGCATGTTGGTGGAAGAAGAGGAATTAGTAGGAATATCCTGATTATTATCTCGAGAAGATTGCTTGGGTGTGAGTTCTTTCCTAGGTGACTAGAGAACGGGCAGTTTCAAGACCCTCATCAGCCACATAATCTTGCTTTGTTTTAAATGGGGCTTTTGCCTTGCACATGGCTGACACGGGTTCGATTCCTTCATCTCTCTCGGAGAGAACGGCAAGTTACCGAGAGTCTCCCGCCCGCACAGTGGAGCCTGGTGGAGCTTTCCCCCTGGTGTATCTGATATGCCAAACACAGTAACAACAAGTCTCACAATGGAGATGTAACTGGTGCCCACTCGAGCAAATCGATGAACCACGGTCGGACAGTGCTACAGATGTTTTCCTTGGGGAGGAGCATACCTGGGGGTGCTGAGCTTCCTCCTGGCAGTCAGAGGTGCTTGGTGTATGGTTTGGGACAGACCATATGCAGTGCTGGGGGTTGAACTTGGCTCTGCTGTCTGTCTGTACTTTCTCTGTAGTTCCTCTTACTCTGTTTTTATCCTTCATGGAGGATGTTCGCCTGGATCTCATCTGGGTGGGCTTGTAAGTGTGGCAGATTTTTTCTGATGTGGAGGGAGATTTTGTAATTGGGGGTGGGGCTTTATTTCCACTAAATCTGTGTTGATGTTTCATTATTTATATTCTCATTCTTTTAGTAGATTATTAAAAACTTCCTAAATTGACATGCTTGAAGAATTTGAAAAAAATGAATTTTTAAATCCACATCTTTGAATTTGCTTACATGGTTACTAATAAGTCACTGAAATATGTTGACCCAGTGAAAAAATTGTGCAGAGCAGAGGTTTTAATGCTCCTTTGAATAGCACCATCATTCACCTGAAATTTCCCACCATACCCAGAAGCCTGGAAATGTCTAGGTTGAGACATGGCTTTGTAGGGGATAAGAGAAAAAGGTTGGGTAGCGGAGGTGGGATAAGAACTCCATTAAGTTTCATGTATTTTTCTTCTGGTGACAAGGGCATGCTTTCAGTCATACATTATGGAATCTAGAAGATGAAATAGAAGACTCTGGAAACCCCTTCAGAGGTGTAGAGATGAACTGTCACTTTCTGGACATCTCACATGGTACCAAATCTAATGTGAAGTGTTCTGAAAAGCAACAGTTATATCGAGTAACAGAAGTTAGCCTTTCTTCATAAAACATTTATTTAATGCGTATATTCTTTCTATCACTTTTTTTTTATTAGTGAGACACCATGAGGTACAGTTGTAGACTTACAAATTTTTGTGCTTGGGTTTCAATTATACAATGATCAAATGCCCATCCCTCCACCAGTGATTTAACTCCAGATAGTGTGCCCAGTTTCTCTTTGCTTCAGCTTTTGCTTTCACCTGGTCTGTCCAGGTTCAGGTTGACTTGCCACAGCAGTATGCTGCTAAGTCTGTAAAAATGACACCCCCATGCTGTCAAATCTGTCCTCCCTCCCTCCTTCCCACCTCTCAACCTCTCCACCTCTCCCTCCCTTCCATCCTCCTTCCCTCCCTTCCTTCCTCCTCCCTCCCTCCCTCCCCCTTCTTCCTTCCTTCCTTCCTTCCTTCCTTCCTTCCTTCCTTCCTTCCTTCCTTCCTTCCTTCCTCTCTCTCTTTTTCTTTTTCTTTCTCTTTCCTTCCCTTCCTCCCAACCTCCTACCCACCCTCCCTTCCTCCTACCCACCCTCCCTCTTTCCCTCTCTCTCCCTCTCTCTCTCTCTCTCCCTCTCTTTCTTTCTTTCTTTCTTTCTTTCTTTCTTTCTTTCTTTCTTTCTTTCTCTTTTTCTTTCTCTTTCTTTCTCTTCCCTCCCTCCCTCCTTCCCTCCCTCCCCCCTCCTTCCCTCCCTCCCTCTTTCCTTCTCTATCTCCCCCTCTCTCTTTTTCTTTTTTCTTTCCTTCTTTCTCAATGGTGCTCAGGGTTTACTCCTGGCTCCTCCCTTTTGGTGAGGCTCAGGAAACCATATGTAATGCCAGGGGTTGAACCTGGGTCAGCCAAATGTAAGGCAGATACTCTACCTATCCCCATTGTACTATCACTCCAGTCCCCAAATCATTAATTCATTTTGTCACATTGACGTACTAAGCAGATATTGACTTGAGAGCCCTGTTTTGTTTAGACTGAAGCGTTATTCAAACGAAAGTGGGAACATAGCTAGATCTTCATTTCAGTGTTTTTGTTGTTATGATTGACATTGATCATGGTGTCAGGTGTTGAACTCAAGGTCTTGAGCCCTCAAACTTCATATGCAGAGAGGGTGGATCCTTACCTAGACAGGGTGAGGGAGATGTCAGGCCAGACCTTGGACTCCAGGGATCTCCCTATTTTCTGATCACTTCAAGGGTGAGTGTCTGCTTTGCTGTTTTGGAAAGGCAGCTCAGCCCTCCAGAGAAAGGCTCATGTGCAGAGTCTAGTGGGCTCTGCCCAGCCTCCTTCAGCCCTGTTCTCTGCCCCTCAGCAGCCGGTCTGTACTGAGACTCCTCTGTGTGGGGGTCAGCAGGGGTGTGTACTTCCTGACACAGGTGGAGCTGCTTGGTAGGAAAATTTGGAGGTCTTACAATGGTTTCTCAGCTGACTGGCTTCCGAGTTGGGAAGTTGTAAGGAATAACTTTTATTTAGCATTTTATTTGTGTCCACCTAGATGGTTGTCCTAAGTTAGCATACTGTAGAATATTTAAAAAGAAAGCCTAAGAAATACAAGATTGTCTCTGCCCAGGGAACTGTTGATCAGTTTACCTCCATTTTATTTTCTTAAATCTGTAGCATGCATGAAATGGTAAAAATGAAAAAAGAACCCTCATTTACTGCTTCTGGAATATGGATGGTAAATGGAAAACTATATTTTCTTTTCCTGTCATTGATACATAAAACATTTTTAATCTTTGACTGCAGCAAAACATCTGTTTTATTTTAAACACTTTCTCAGGGCACTGGTAGGTTAGTGCATTTAAGGTTGAAGGACTTGGTTCCTATGTATGTGTTTTGGGTAGATTCTTAGTTATTTTAATCTATCTCACTTGTGGATGTGTTGAAAAAAAAATAGCACCAAATTCTTTACCTTGTTGACTTGCCAAAGATTAATAGCATCTTTTTTTTTTTCATTTAAAAAAATTCTGGAGGAGCTAAAGTTTATGTTTATATATGAATGTATGTATTGGCTGCAATAACAATTTTATTATGTAGACTCAAGATTGAATTGAGAACTTTCAGCATTTTAGTTGATTTACTAATAGATTTATAGTTCATAGTCATTATAGGAATCATTTTGTTAGTGTTGTATTGTAGATAGCCTTGCTTAAAGGAGAAGAATGATGTGGAAGTAATAAAAATTAAAAGAAGCTCTTTTTATACATGTATTATTATATATACATATGTAATATACGTATAATATATTTATGTGTATATGTATGTATACATACATATATACATACACATATATAAGTTGTGCTCAACAGTACTTACCTATTCAGGGATGCTTTGCCATCAGAAACATAGTCTAGGTGCTTTCTGACCTGAATTTCTCCTTTATCTGGTTGGTCTCCAGGAGAAGATAAGGAGGATGAGTGGAGTACAAATTGGGTCAGGTGGGTTTTGGGTGGATCATGAACTGATATGGCCTTAACCTCTAAACTTAGTGTACTTTTATGTGCGTGAGTGCATTTTTTGAGGAAAAAAGAGTTCAAGTCTTTCCTTAGATTCTCAGAAGGCAGTTTGGTGTCTGTTTTTCTCTCTCCACCAAAGCCCCTCAGGGTGGGGGTCACTGTTCTCTGAGGACTGTCGGAAGACTACTGCCGTTGAGGGGAAGAGGGAAATGCAGTCTGAGTCTCCCAGGTTTTCTAAACCAGCATCTGCTCGTGAGTCTAGAGGTAGAAAGCAGAAGAGTAGTGACCTATGTTTATAACGATGTTCATGTGCTCCTTAAGTGCGTGGGCATTGGAGAAATTTCTGGCACAGAGGATATTAGACATAGCTACTTTTTTTTTAAACTTTTATTAATTTTTCCTTTGTAAACTATTTTATCGACTGAAGTTCTGTGATTTACAGTATGGTAATGATGGCTTCTCATGCACATAATTTCAACATCAAGTACACCCACTTCCCTCCCCCAAGGACCCAAGTGCCCCTCACTTTTCAAACATTCCTCCTACCCCCAAGTCAGTTGTGTGGCTCAGTTCCTCTGTTGTGGTACCTTTGGCTCTTTGTTGCTATCTTGCTGTGTATCTTTAAATCCTCCATAGGAGTGAGATCAGTTTGTATCAATCCTATTCTTTCTGAATGCCTTCACTCAGCATGGGATTGGATGTGGTTAAGCAGAGTTACTGCACCTTCACCACCAGGAAAGTGCTCAGTACCCTTTACCACTGTCATTTTGCCCCTTCTGATTCCTTTCTCTTGGAACTTAACTCAGTTCCATCCACATCACAGCAAATTTCATTATTTTGTTCTCTCTTTGAGCTACCTAGTAACTTACGGCAGTGCTGAGAACAGTAGCGGAGATGCGGAGATGTTGCTGTTGTCATCTGTGCGGGCATTGATCTCCTTTGGGCTATTTATTGTGTTCCAGGCACAACCCTCAGATCACATGTCTACAACAATCAAAAAAATCTGTGCTACTGCAGCTGCCGGGAAGCAAGATGACTGGACTTGGTTTAAAAAAAATTTATTTAAAATTAAAAGAAAAAATGTCATTGTAGCTTAGGTAAATGGTTATAATACTCTTAACATTTAGGAGTTTGATGTACAAATGTAATTACATTTAGGAGTTTGATGTAATTACAGCTCACCATCCTCCAAGTGCCCATAGCCCAAGCTCTCTCCCTTTTTTTTAGAGGGGGGCACACTTGGTGATGCTTTGGGCTAACTTCTAACTCTGTACTCCTGGCGGGGATCAGAGACCATATTGGATGCTGGGGATCAAACTGATCAGCTGTGTGAAGGGTGAAGTGCCTCTTCTGCTGTATTATTGCTTTGTTTGGTCCCATTCTTTCTTTAATTTTTTTTTTTTTTTGCTTTTTGGGTCACACCTGGCGATGCACAGGGGTTACTCCTGATTCTGCACTCAGGAATCACCCCTGGCAGTGCTCAGGGGATCTTATGGGATGCTGGGAATCGAACTCTGGTCAGCCGTGTGCAAGGTAAACGCCCTACCTGCTGTGCTATTGCTCCAGCCCCAATTTTTTTTTTTTTTGCAGTTTTGGTAACATGATTACATTAGTAGTTGGGCTTGGTTCTTGAGGTCACACATGAGGATATTTTCATTCATCAATACCACTTACTTTTCTAGTCACCCTCCCCCACCCCCATCTACATGGTGAAGAGAATATTTCCAGAGCATGAGTCATTCTCTGCACTGCTACATATATGTCAGAGAAAAGTCAGGAGAGTAACAACCGACATCAAGACATGTGCTGGTGGAATTTTTTTTTCTTTTTAAAGATTTTTTTTTAACTCATAGGTGAGATCACATGGTTAAAATAGTGGAACTCTTTATGCAATTTGGTTGAGCAGAGTTATGGTACCTCCACCACCATGAAAGTGCCCGGGACCCTCCACC